GTTCTCATCAGGAAAATGAACGCACCAAGGACCTAATCATTGAACAGAAATTCCACCGGACCATTATTGGGCAGAAGGGTGAGCGGATCCGGGAAATCCGGGAGAAATTCCCAGAGGTAAGGCTTTCTAGGAGATGAGGAATCCAGAGGATTCCAGTAGATATCCAGTAGATACATACAGGGCAATAGACACATTGTCACTCAAGTCGTAAATTTATTGGCTCTGTATGTATCTGTATGAGAAGATAGTTCTTTTGGCCAGAGGCTGCTAACATGGTTACCCTTTTCCAAATGGGAAAGTGGATGTGTAGAATCATCCTGACCTTTGCATGTGTCTGACACAGCAATGTTTTCATTTGCTTGAGCTGACTGTAAATGACGACCTCCTGCAGGTTATCATCAACTTCCCAGACCCTGCGCACAAGAGTGACATCGTCCAACTTAGAGGTCCCAAAAATGAGGTGGAGAAGTGCACCAAGTACATGCAAAAGATGGTGGCAGACCTGGTAAGGAGGTCTTCTTTCTGCTATTCTCTCCTACATGCCTGGATAACCCTGTAATAAGGCAGAGCTGTACTGGCTTGGCTAGGGCTGAAACACTTCATGATGCGGAAGTTGTGGACACTCTTTTGGCTGACTGGGGTTAGGGGAATGATATTTGTTATTTAAAGGCTGTAGGGGAAGATACTTGCCTTTGCTTCTTCTTGCAAGTGTGTCATATAGAGAGCTTTGTTAGGTCTAAGTCTATTGTCAAAAGCTTGTTTATCAAGTTCTTGGAACAGAGCCTCACCATGATGGTGTAATCTTCAGTTCTTCCTTCTTTTCTCTCTTAGGTTGAAAACAGCTTTTCTATTTCTGTCCCCATCTTCAAACAATTCCACAAGAACATCATAGGGAAAGGAGGTGCCAACATCAAGAAGGTGAGATACCTTTCTTATCTCCAGTGCTCATTATGGTCACTGCCTGCAGCTAAATCCCACTCGCTGCTCTATTCTGCTCATTGGTGATGGCAAATATAATTTCCTTTTTTTGACATGGGAAACCTCTGAGATGGTTTTATTTTTTCCTTTGTGACAGATCCGTGAAGAAAGCAACACCAAAATCGATCTCCCAGCAGAGAACAGCAACTCGGAGACAATTGTCATTACAGGCAAGAGAGCAAACTGTGAGGCGGCTCGCCACAGAATTCTTGCCATCCAGAAGGAGCTGGTAAGTGAAACAACTGGCCTGTCTCGCAAGAGGAACTTTAAAATGTTGCTAGAAGACATAAACACAGAAGTGCGTGTAGTGGGGGAGGGCAGGGAGGAGACAAATGTGAGTGTCAGTCTGTTCTTGACTCTTGACCCTAAGTTTGTGGCTGCTCAAGTGTCAAGAGTAGCCTGTTTCAAACCCTCTGGTCAGACATTTCTTATACACAGTTCTCCAAAGCTCTTAGGAGTTAAAGGGTAAGCCAAGTGGGTGCAAACTGATTTCTGCAGCTTATCTAAAAGCCTGGTACTGTCCTCTCTTAGGCCAACATCACAGAGGTGGAGGTGTCTATTCCTTCCAAACTGCACAACTCCCTCATTGGCGCCAAAGGCCGTTTTATCCGCTCCATTATGGAGGAGTGTGGTGGAGTCCACATCCACTTCCCCACCGAGGGCTCTGGCAGTGACACCGTGACCATCAGGGGCCCTGCCCAGGATGTGGAGAAAGCCAAGAAACAGCTGCTGCACCTGGCAGAGGAAAAGGTGAGCCTTGTCTCGTAAGGGAAGGAGCAGATTGTTTTGGCCAGCTGTTTCTTTTCGGGGGGGTTGAAATGATCCCCTTTTCCTGCTGGGAAGCTCCTGGCATCAGACAGCCTAATCCTCTTTTGAGGGATTTGAGTAGTTTAAATGATTAAAAGAAAACCATGCTTCCATCTTTGTGGCAATGAGTTGTTCCTCCATGGGTAGAACTGGCTGTAATGCTTCTATGCCCAGCCTGGGACATACTCAAAAGGTTAAGGCTCCCTACTCCTGTGGTTTGAATGCTGTTGGGTATCCACACTTCTCCAAAACAGCTTACTCTGCATACATCCTTTACCTTTTTCTTGATCTCTGAATTCAGCTCAAGTTCTTCCGTTTTACTGCATATATTCAGGTTTGTGGCTGACTGAGTGGTCATTTTAATAGCAAGAAAAAAACCTTTCTAACACAAGCATATGAACATGTTCTCCTGATTAGTTGGTTTCCTCTGCTGCCTGGCTTGCAGCAGTCAGTTGGCAAATGGTTATGCTGACTTGTGTGTCAAACCCTTCTCCTAGGGAAGTCTTTTCTGCTCGTTTTCTCACCAGTTGTGCTGAGTGTAGAGTTAGTTTTTCAGCTGATTAATAGCACTATTTGAGAACGTCTTTCAGGTAGTGTTATTAATTTAAGACATTGTATACCTTTTTGAGGTGGACAGCACACTGTGTCCACCTTGCTCTTACAACACTGTGTAAGTGGGTGCAGGTAACATACCTACATGCTTACTGTTGATGCTGATATGTATTTTCACTGCATTGACATGCTGCATGGGTATCTTGACTCCTTTCAGCAAACAAAAAGTTACACCGTGGACCTTCGTGCAAAGCCAGAGTACCACAAATTCCTTATTGGTAAGGGAGGTGGCAACATCCGTAAGGTGCGTGACAACACCGGGGCCCGCATCATCTTCCCAACCTCTGAGGACAAAGACCAGGAGCTGATTACTATCATGGGAACTGAAGAGGCTGTCAAAGAGGCACAGAAGGAGTTGGAGGCCCTCATCAAGAACCTGGTATTATGAACTACTACTTCTGTTTTCTTGCCTATCACTGTAGCAAGATGTAACAAGCTAGTGTGGAGGACCTCCTTATCCTAAAATATCTGCTGCCCTTCATGGGAGCTCGGGAGGATCCTCCTTGCTGTTACTTGTTGGGGATGAGGTGGTAAACTGATTGCTGTTGAGTGCAGCAAACTCGTGATGATCGCCAGGACAGGCAGGGTTGACTGGCTGTCATCCTTTGGCAGGATAATGTGGTTGAAGACTCCATGGTGGTTGACCCCAAGCACCACCGCCACTTTGTCATTCGGAGAGGGCAGGTTCTGCGTGAGATTGCAGATGAGTATGGTGGTGTGATGGTCAGCTTCCCGCGCTCCGGCACCCAAAGCGACAAAGTCACCCTCAAGGGAGCCAAGGACTGTGTGGAGGCAGCCAAGAAACGCATCCAGGAGATCATTGAGGACCTGGTATGTCACAGGAAAACTGTTTCTTTTTTAATTTGTTCTTGGTTTTTAGGAGTAGAAATAGGAGTCCCTTCCTTGGTGTACTTCTAGACATGAAAAGATCGGAGCCTTCTTGTACCTCTCTGTGCCTGGCCTTGGGTAGTGGTTGCTCTCTGGGGTTTCCTGTGGTATTGGTATAGGCTTTTGGAAGCAGGCAGCTGTCAAACCTGTTCTTTTCCCTTCCTTCATCTTTTTACTTTCTTCTAATGCTTCTTCCCCTGCAGGGTAATAGAGAGCTTGAGCTTTGGTCTTGGAAGCCTTTAACATCATGGGTTGGAGGCAGCCTTCATTAAGAAATCCTCTGCTAACTTCTCTGAGAGAGGAAAGATTCTAGGAAACTTTCAGTTCTTCCCCTGTCAGCAGCTGTTACGTTTTCTGAATCCTCTGTATGTCCATTATGGATTTCACCATGCCCAAGTGTCCTGTTTTCTGGTGTGAAAGGGGCTTCATCTCAATAGAGCAACTCTGTTTTCTCACAGGAAGCCCAAGTGACAATCGAATGCAACATCCCACAGAAGTTCCACCGCTCCATTATGGGCCCCAAAGGATCCCGGATCCAGCAGATCACCCGGGACTATGCTGTCCAGATCAAATTCCCTGACAGGGAGGAGAACCCAGGTATACCCGTGGACGCATGTTGCATGGTAGCTGGGGTGATCAGATGAGTGGTGGGTAGCCTACACTCTGTATCAGTGAAGGTGTTCTAGTTAAAATCTGTGGAGAACTGACCTCAGGTGTTCCCCACAGTGTCCTTGCATCTGGGCTTAGCACCAAGCTTGACCTCTTGGGAAGAGAGGACAGTTCAGGGAGGTAAAACCACAGACTTGGGTGTTCTGAATGTGTTCTCACTGCAGAGCACAGGGAGTACAAGGAGCTTCCCCAACAAAAAGGACTCTACAGGCTTACCAGGCTTACCAAGGGCTCTCTGAGCTCTCATGCCCTCAGTGCTGGGCGTGCTGAAATTCAGCACTGCTGGGGCCTGTTGGATACTCTGGCTTAGCCCCAGCCATCCTGCTGCAACATCCAGTGCTGTGCTGGTGAACTTCCCTGTTGGGGAAGAAACTGCCAGCCTTACTTGTTGCTTCTCTTAACACAGAAGTGCAGCTTCTGCTTCCATAGTGCAACTGCAGGTCTTTTCCGTGTGGGCAAAGGCAGTATCAATGCTGTGCAGAGAGGTGTGAAATAACTGTCTCAGTGGGATGTTCTTGTTCTGCCTGTTCGAAGCTAAGCCATGGCAAGCTGCTTGTGCTTGGAGTGACCTGCTCCACAGCAGTCTATAGTGTTTGACCTCTTGTGGCAAAGCCCAGTCAGAGCCTGAGGATCTAGATGGGGAGATAATGAGCGAAGAGGGGCCTCTGTGCATTTACCATGAGACTCTCCATGTTTCCAGCCCCAGCTGCAGAGCCATTGGTGCAGGAGAATGGCGAGGAAGGTGGGGAAGGCAAGGATGGGAAGGATGCAGATCCCAGCTCTCCAAAGAAGTGCGATATCATCATCATCTCTGGCCGCAGGGAGAAGTGTGAGGCAGCAAAGGAGGCGCTGCAGGTATGTGGCTTTCAAAGCCCCTTAGCCCTGTGATGTCTTGATGTCCTGATGCAAGAAGCTCACTGCAGGATTTAGTGGTGGTAATAAAAGCGACTCAGTCACAGTTACAGTCCAGGTGGTCACTGATGCTGACTGCAGAGGTGGTCTGTATTGCTCAAGGGAAGTCCTCTGCTTTGTGATTTAGCCTGGCAGCTTGAATCACTGTGCCTGACCTCGCAATTGGTAGAGCTTGTAGGCAGTCCTGCTTTTTTATGCCGTAAAAGTGTGACATACTTGTTTTATGGAGCACAGCTGGAAAGAGTCTGAGGGTGAATCATTCTAGCTTTAGCAGACCTTGTCATGCTGCTTTAGTGATGTTTTTGAAGTCTCTGTTAGATGGAAGCCAAGGATATGAAAACAGACTGTCCCCAGAGACAAGGTTTAAGATTGCTTGTTTGGAAAAGTACTTTAACACCCAACAGATAATCTTGGTGTTCACAGCTGTTCTCTCTTCCTGTAAAGTTTGTATCCTGACTGCAAGGTAATGTACCTCAGTTCAACAACATGTTCTTTTGGACAAGTATATGGCAAGCTGAAAGACAGGAGAAGTCTTTCAGCTGGTAAACTGTGCTCCACTCCCTGCAGGCTCTGGTTCCTGTCACCATTGAGGTGGAAGTTCCCTTTGATCTTCACCGTTATATCATTGGCCAGAAGGGAACTGGGATCCGCAAAATGATGGATGAGTTTGAAGTAAGTTGTTGCCCTTCCTCCCATCTCCTCTGTCCTGAAGAGTCTGTAAGTGACCATGTTTGGGGTAGTGGCAATCATTTGCAACATACTCAGGACTCTTATGGCTTGACCATGGAATACAGGCTCTGTAATAAGAAAATGAGACCCTTGTGATTTAGTTGCTGGCTCTGGAGCTCAGTAGATTTTGTGCTGAAGCTGTACAATCAGTGTCATTGCTGTGAGTTCTGCATAGCTTGTTTGGTGCCTACAGGGATTTCTCACCAGTGTGAGGGTTGTTTTCCCCCTAAGCCATAGGAAACAGCTCTGCTGTGCCTACCCATTTGGGAGAATTCCCCCGAAGCCCACAGGGACACTTGGGGCTGATGCAGGTTGGCTGTAGACAGCCCTATTGAACATGTATTTGTTTCCTAGCCTCTCCAGACTGTCACAGGCACTGCTAGGGGATGAAGCCCTGGAGCAAAGCAGTCTGGTAATGGCTGAAGAAACAGTGTTCTATTCAAAAAACATCTAGACATAGTACCAGGCAACTGCTTGAGAGGGGTGGTTGGACAAGATGCCCTCCAGAGGTCCCTTCCAACCTCAGCATTCTGTGATTCTGTGGTTTAGGCTGTCTGGGTGGGAGCTGGTCTCAGTGATACCAACCTGCAGCGACAGGCATCACAAGTGATACAAAATGGTAACTGGTTCTTGTTACTCAGGTGAACATCCAGGTCCCTGCTCCTGAGCTGCAGTCGGATATCATCACCATCACTGGGCTGTCTACCAACCTGGACCGTGCCAAGGCTGGGCTGCTGGAAAG